AAAAAAAAAAAAAAAAAAAAAGAAGAGAAATTATCTCGCGTTAATTTGATAATGAAAAAAGAAATGGCGATAAAAAAAAGATGGAGCAATTTATCGAGTAAATTTGGAATGATATTTTAACAAGTCACGAAGGCTTTTAACGAAATTAAAAAAAAAAAAAAATTATCCAACAAATTGTCCAGTAATCGATAAAAGTTATATCTTTGTAAAGTTATATCGTGAAATATTTCCTAAAAAAGAAACGAAAGATTACGGATAAATAACGTTTCTGTAAAAAACTGTAAAAAAGTTAACACGAATAACGATTTAATACTAATCGATATTTATGCATTATTTACAGGAAATTACCTCGACTTCGAAAGAAACCCGTTCAAGAGATAGTTCGATGACACTGATGCAGTGTCTTTGGCAGTGCGACATTACGATAAAATGCATTTTCACTCACGATTCGACGGAATTCTGCAATTTATTCAGCTTTTCCTCGAGAGCATGAGCTGGAGCTTCTGTGAAGGCAGCCAGATATGCTAGAACAGGTCCTGATAAAGCTTTCACTTCCGCTGCCATCGGTTTCAATTTCTCCGCTTCCGTTACCAACTCCTATACAAGTAAAAATTAAAATTAATAAAATAATACATATTGTAAATTACAATTAAATAAAATATTTTACATGATACGATACAATTTTTTATTTATTTATTCTTAACTTTTATCCCACGAGTCACTTATCAAATTTAAATACAACTCATCGTAACGCACTCCTTTCCTTTACTTATTCCTTTCTCAACTAGATTAGACAAATATTACTCATGATACTTACATGTAGAGATTTGATGGTGTCGTGCAAATGTTGCTTAGAACGAACCACAGTGTCCAAAAGTTTGCTCTTCTCCTCGATAGCATTCACTTTAGTCTCGATAAGCGACCATTGTGCCTCCAGATCTTCCCAATGCTTCGACAACGCCTCGAGGGCATCCCTTCGCCCTTCCAACCCGGAAACCAACTCTTTCCATTCCGCACTGATCTCAGAAATCTGCGCCTCTATCGTTTTCTTGTTATTAACGTCGGCCAATCGAAGCACTTCTTGACTGCGTTCGATCAATAGATCCAATTCGAATTGTTGATTCTGTATTGAGAAAAAAGAAGAGAAAAAACGCAAAATTTATCTTTTCACCGTTTAATTATTATTACGTTGAACCGAGTTACGAGAGCACGATGCGGATAGACTTGTGTAATTTCCACGGCAAACAGACGTCACGATTATCGACTAACCTGTATGTCATTGAGCGCGTGCGTGATCTTCTGGATGTTAAATTGCAGTCCAGCCAGAGTCGTGACAGGCTCGTCGGTGAATCTGCTCCTCGCTATCACAGCCCGGACTCGTTCCAAGGTTTGCGTGTAATCCCTCCACGTTTCAGCGCCTTGTTCCAACCTGGCGCGTTGAGATTTCGCCGTGTTCAACGTGTTTTTCAATAATTGGGTGTGCTGCTGTTGTTCCGCGCTTAATTCTTCTTGCTCAGACGTGTTCAACGAAGGCCAAATTTTGTCACCGGCTTGCTGAATTTGCTGAGACACCAATTCGCGAATCGATGGCTCGCTGCTGAAGTAGATCTGTAAAATACGATCCGTCCGTGTTAACAATAAATCGTTGAGCTATTTCAAATTAACTTTATTCTTTTATGGTTTTATATGGAATAATGGTCTTAGAGTGACCGTGATTTTATTATGAATTTGTATTTTTAATCGCAAGATGGATCATCTTAATTTAACTGGTGAATCCATCGCTTATTTATTATCAATAGATTGTTATAATCAGATCAGATGATATATTTGAAAAACTAGATACTCAAACGATTATAGTTTTAGATTTCTGTCAAAAGGATTTATTTTTAAACAATTTAAATGTATGAGATTGTATTTCAATCTATGAATTACTCTAAATTATCATAAATTATCGATATACAAACCTTGTGCTCCTCGAGATCGCTCAGGATGTTCTCGAAATCGAGTCCATCCTTGTCACTTTCCAATCGAATCTCTGCCTCTCGAACCCAACTTCGAAGTTTCTCGGTAAGAGCAGCATACTCTTGTCTCAGCTTCATGTTGCTCTCCAAATAATTTCCACGTTCCTCCATTTCTCTGGGCAAAGAGGTCAACAGAGAGACAGCCTCGCTCAGCATTTCCTTCAACGAACCAGGCATTCCTTCTTCGTGGGGAACAGAATTCTTCAAATTTCTGATTCTATCGAGATGTTCGTTGACTGCATCGCAGAGCTCGTTATGTTTTTGCAATTCTGCTTCCACACTGATTGGATCTCTTTCCAGAAGAGGTCTAGATTTCACTTCTTTCTCTTTGTCCTCCAACCAATCGAGAATCTCAGCCAATTCGTTCGCCAATCTCTTGTGTTCCGCTGCTGCTAATTCGTGCTGCTCCCTTTGAGTTTCCACAGCTCTTCTCAGACCTTGTAATTGTTGTTTCAGAGATTGCAGTTGTTCCGTTATATTGTTTCTATCCACAGTTGAGCCTTCTGCTGCGATTTGTTGACCCTTGTCCGTTGCACTGGCGAGGGTAGCTTCGCATTCTTGGATCTTCAGAATTGCATCGTCGTACCTGAAAAATTGAAAATAGAAGTATTTAGAAAATGATCTGTAATTTTTAAAATTTTTCAAATTTGTAACTTTCGAAACTAAAAAAATAGATTAAATAGAAATCCATGCGATTCAATCTCTGTAATTTTTCATACATAATTATCTATAAATTTCTATTACGAATGATACATATATGCATATACATATTATTTGTCGTAATATATGTATATCGTAATATATTTTGCATATATTTTCATATTTTTATATTATTTTATATTATTTTAAATCATTTTTATAATTTGTATAATTTATATATTTTTTAAAAATATATATAAAAATATATATCTTTGTATTTTTTACTTTTTTTTCTTTTTTTTAAATAAATATTTCTAAATACCATGAAATTTTCGCTTTCGTGTTTTATTTTTATTTTTACTTTTATTAAAATATTATAAAAAAAGCTTATAAATTATACGAAAGCGATAAATAGACGATTTTAGTACCCGTGGCGCCATCTCGCGGATGGACGCTCGAAGCTCCGACTTGCTACCCGGGTTACAGAATAGGCGAGGAGGTATTCGTGACGTCACAAATAAAAAAGGAAAGCAACATTGCGCGAGAAGGATAGAGGATAAATGCGCGCTCACCGCTTGCGCATGCGCAGTAACATTTTCTAACATATCGAGAATACTACGTGGAAAATTAATCAATTACTAATTTTTTACGCAAAATTTCTGTACTTTTAAGATCGAATATCAAAGATAGAAT